TGATCTTTGGCAGCAACGGTCGTTGTACACAGCAGACTGACGATGGAGTCTGCACTGCGCCGCCATTGGACGCCTCTTCGGACCGGCGTCACAGTCTTCCAAATCAAAGGCAGTGTTGGCAAAGGGCTGGCCATGTACGTCAAGGAACCTCTTGTCGGAGCCAAGCAAAGGGGAAGATCACCAAGCAGAAGCACGCCAAGGCTTTCAAGAAGGACAAGAACAACCTCTTAGAAAGGACGATGACTCCTGATGCTCAGTACAAGGCAGCCAAGGTCAAAGAGCTTCAAGTCCTACTTCCTCTCCTACCACCACACGCTTGTCGCGCTCCGTGCTGCTGAGCTTGGCCGCAACTATGTCCTGGAAGGTGTGGACATCTGACATTGCTACGGCCTTCTTGCAAGGAAAGCCACAAAGCCGCAAGCTATGTTCAACTTCCGGCCGCATGTCTTCAGCTGTTGGGTGCGTCCACAGACGCCCGAATGCTGCTTTTGAAGCCTTGCGATGGCCCAATCGATGCTCCAGGTCATGGTATATACTGTGTCAACTGCTTGGTCCTCATGGACTCTGTGGCGTGATTATCGTGCGCGTGGACGACGTGTTGGGATGTGGTGCAGAGACCTCCCCGTGCTATGCTCCAGGCCAAATGGAAAACTGGTCAAGATGGTTCTGACCTCTCGTACTGCGGTTCTGACCTCAAGATGACCGAGGAGCACGGCTACAAGATCGAGCAAGCCAACTACATGAAGAAAGTGAAGCCCATCGCCTTTCACAAGCGCCGTTCTCTGACCAACACTGCAACTGCAGCTGAGAAGGATGTGTCGCAACTTCGAGCACTACTAGGTTGCTGCACTGAGCACTTCAATTCTCAGTGGCTATGTCTCCAAGGCCACTGTGCAGACGATGGCTGACTGCAACCGACTGCACTTTTGATGCACTGTTGATGCATTTTTGAGTTCTCACACAATTACTAAGAATGCATTCTTTAGGTTTTTTTATATAGTAATTTTTCAATTTTAGTAATTTCAACCATTTAGTAAAATTTCTACTTCAGAAGACTTAGGGTGCCAAGGAGAACTCCGATGTCGGCCTCATTTACAACAACAACTGGGAAGTCCAAGATCTCAAACTTCTCTGCTTCTTCGACGCCGCTTTCGCCACTCGCACAGATGGTAGCTCACAGATCGGATACATCATCCTCACGATCAACAAGAGCCTGCTCCAACCTGACGGACCTGAAGGAGCGTGCCATGTGCTGGACAAGGAGGGCCAAGCGTGCGATGCCTTGTTTATGTTTACTGGAACTGCCTCCTCGACCCTCAGAAGGAGCTCAAGGAATTGTTGGATTGCCCTTCAACGTTGGAGCCCACCATGGTGACGGATGCGAAAGCGCTTTATGAGTCCTTCCATCAAGATGGCGCGTCCGTGGTTGACAAGAGAGTTTCTTTGGAGGCCTGTGCGCTGAAGGAACGTCTTTTGGCACTTAGCGGAGGTCTTTGCTGGATGTCCTCTGCTGACGGGTTGACCAGAAGGAACGCGACCAATGGATGCTGTCTGTTGCTCAAGCTTTTTCTATCACCACACCGTTTTCGTTGTCTTCGGCCCTAGATTTTCTCAGGCTATAGGCATCGAGACCAATCTGTGGGGATTAGCCTGCCCATTCCATTGCGGTTCGCCTTCGATCACTGCACTCATCCTTGCCTTCCTTTCAGGCTTTTTGTGGGGTTGGTCTTTGGACTGGATTGGTCCTTGTCATCCTTCTGATTTTTTCGTTTCGGCCTTCACTCCCATCTCTGGGGCTCTCAGCCCACAGGGTTTCCAAGGCCAATCTCCCAGCCTGAGTCGGACTCAGGCTTACTTGTAGGCTGTTGAACTTCTTCGCTTGCAAGTTCAGCAGCTGTTACTGAGGGTTGACATCCTTGAGAGGAAGGTGATTGAGTTGGAAACGAGTGGGCGCCGGCTCCGTCAACGACTTTGAGCTGGCTTCTGGTACAGCTCGCCCTCCTACTCCTGCCAGGACTGCGTCGAGCTCCCCGACCGGCCGGCCGGCCAAGATCCACGGTCCAGCTGGCCGGCCGGTCGGCCGGCCAAGATCCACGGTCCAGCCGGTCGGCCGGCCAAGATCCACGGTCCAGCCGGCCGGCCGGACGGCTGACCAACGACCGTCGGCTACTACTACTACTACTACTACCACTACCACTACCACTACCACTACTACTACTACTACTACTACTACTACTACTAGTATACTACTGCTACTCTGCTACTACTGCTACTACTACTACTACCACTACCGGTACCATTACCATTACCACTACCACTACTACTACTACTACTTCTACTACTACTACTACTACTACTAGTACATGGCCGGCCGGCCGGCCGGCCGCTATTGCCAGCCGGCCGGCCGGCCGATCAAGGTGCCAGCCGGCCGGCCGGCCGCGGAAGAAATCGCTACTACTACTACTTACTACCACCACGACGACGACTACTACTACGACTACGACGACGACGACGACGACTACTACTACGACGACGACTACTACTACTACTACTACCACTACTGGTCTAGTACTACTACTAGTCTAGTACTGCTAGTAGTCTACTGCTAGTAGTCTACTACTACTACTACTACTCCTACTCCTACTCCTGCTACTACTACTACTACTACTACTACTACTACGACTACGACTACGACGACGACGACGACGACGACGACTACTACTACTACTAGTACCACCACCACCACCACGAGGAGGACGACGACGACGATGACGACGACGACGACTACTACTACTACTTGGCCGGCCGGCCGGCCGGCTGGTCGCAAAATAGCAGGCCGGGTTGCCCGCGCTGTCTACATTTCACTGGCTGCTGCGATCCCTGAGCTTTCAAGCGAGGCTCTTCGCTTTGTGTGGAAACCTGCGTGGAGGTAAGCTATCCTTTAGACAGCGGATTTGTGCCTGAGGGAAGGTCAACAAGCCCCGGCCTTCGACGCCTTGTGACTTGGCCAACGCCACCTACATGGTCATTAAGGCAGCCGGAATTTCTTCCGCTGTGCAAGTGGAGAAGGCTTCTGACTACAATGCATTGCTTGGAGACTTCACGGGCCAGCCTGTTCCAAGGTCTAGACTACTGTTCGGGGGCAAACCTTCCGTATCCTGAACAGATCTACCAATGGAGCTAGAGGCTATAGTCCCGCTGGTGCAAGAGAATGTCGAGTCGAGTTGTTCAGAATTCACAGGCCTCCCGATCCCAATGTGGTTCAGGCCAGACCTGGAATTTTGCTTGGTTGTGATGGTTGGAGGAGGCCTACTTGTGGCGCTGCCTGCTGCTTTGGTTGTGGCCGGGTCCTTGCCTTTAGATCCCGCAGAAGACGATGTCATTGGCCAGCGTGCAGCTATGGAGGTTCCTGGTGTCCGTGCTTCCAAGGCGTAAAATGCCTGCTTCCAGTCACACCGCCGAGAGACACAGGCAGAAAGAGAGCGGGTGCGTCCTGACCCAGGAAAGCGCCTGGCTCAGAGACTTCGCTATGCCAGTTGAAGTTCATCTGGGACCCTATAACTACAAGGCCGCCAAGAAGAAGAGGAAGGAAGAACTACTTGCGAGCCTTGAGGAGAGCGCCCTCTGCCCTACAGCCGAAGCTGACGGACTACCTCATGGACACCTACCTGGTGAAGCTCGCGTGGACGACGCAGGTGAATGGGAGCTCCATGAAAGCTTCAACTTGGCTATTACCAGTGCCCCGTCTCCTACTTGATGGAGATGTGGGTATGCCCTGAGCACTGAGGAGACCTTTGAGCCTGAGAATGCCCTCAGCGCCGAGCCAAGCCATGTCGTGGTCCACATGCCGAATGGCAACCACTGGAAATGATGTGGAAGGCGAGGACCGTTTCTGGATGATGATCGTGACGATCCACCCCAGCGGTGGCCCCAGTTTACGAGACCACCGTGACCAGGTGTCCAGGAACTCTGCCATCGAGCATCGCGAGGGCGATCTTGCGGTGGCCAACATGAAAAATTGCGAGCAACTCCTGTTCCGCGCTGGGCGCATCATGACCCCGTTGTCTCACAAAGATGGATCAGCGTGTCGAATCGACTGGAATGCCCACGCGGCGCGGCGGCGTCCACATCAACCGCAGGGGCCGGAGGATGCGCATCGATTCGCACTGCAGCTCACTTGACTTGAAGGCCACGATCCGCGGATGGTAGATCTTTTTGATCCCTGTGCCTTGTGCGCCGCGAGGATTCTCCCTCCAGACAATGTGTCCATCCAGGGAGGACGCTCCTTGCGAATGGCCATTGCTTTGTGGTTAGAGGCAAACACCTTGCGAACAGAGCAGGTGATTGCGAGTGTCTTAGCACCGGAGGCAGAGAACTAAGATCTTCCCCCATGTGAGTTGAACGCTGTTCAACATGAACCGATTCCAACTGTAACCCTTCCGCCTCAAGCAAGGGCGGGACTTTGCCGCGAAAAGGTTTGCGCCGTGCGGCACCGGTTTGCGCGCTGCGGTTTTCTTTGCTGTTGGTAGACTGCGAGCGCCACTTTCGACTTCGTATATATATTAATATAAAAACATACATTATAAATTATATATATACAGAGTTGTACATTATTTTTGATCAGTGCGGCGACACCGAACAATGACAATCAATACAATCAATTTGGCCACCGTTTTAGGAAACATGTTTCTTTCAATGTACTGATCACGGCTTCGGCCATGCGTTTGCACTGTTCACAATTGGGCGTAGTTGTGATACCCAAAAAGCATGTATATACATACGTACATAGATATAAGCAGGTATATATGTATATAATCATATATATATATATATATTCTCGGATACGAGTATGTGATTGCTTTTGCTGCACCGAGGGATGCTGAGAGCATGTATATACAACAGTTGTGAACCCGAAATCAAAGTGTAGTATAGGCATTTTGTTCCACCCATTTGGTGAAGCTCCCTTCAACATTGCGGGGCCCACATGACAGATGAGCCAGGCCTCAGTATCTATCTGATTTGGCCAAGAACGTGGGTTCCAAGGCCCACTTGTCCGTCGCAACTTTTCTGGTCCGACTGTAGTGATGTTCCGCTTTTGCTTGGGCAACACTGTTGGGCTGGACAGCAATGCCACTCGACTCGACTTGGATCTTGCATGGGCAGGTAGCTCTTCGGCAATGCCCTGAACCCTACGATGATCTGAGCGCAGCCGACAGGACAGCAAAGAAGGCGAGGTGGACGGGTGGACCACTTCAAGTTTGCCCCGCTCATTCTTCAGGAGTAGAACCACCGCTGTTGTGGGCATGCCCCGGAACATTACCATCTTGGAGCAGCTGCCCAGCTTGACGCTGATGCAAAGTTCTCACTATATGCGCCCTATATAGCAGAATCTGACAAGTGAATTCGCGGGCAGGTTGTAAAAACACGCCAAATTTGTGTTTCTCCAGGCACCCGCGCTTGTCCACAATCCCTGCTACAGTCACAGTTGCAAAGTACGATGTCCCATGGCGATCATACGGAGTCGAGCCCATCGCAGAATTTGTGATCGCAGCAGCATTTCAGTGGACGCTCAGAATGGAAGAAGGGCCAGGGATATTCTTCGACTGTTGATTTATATTTATATATTTCAAATTTTTTTATTAAGCGTGTAACCCTATAGAATGCCTTACCGTTTCCTAGTCCTTTCCAGCTGTTTTTGGTGTCCCCCAGGACTTATCATTTGGCTTCCAAGCAGCTGCAATTTTGTTTGCTGCGCTTTTGGCGCTGGCGCGCCGGCTTCCTGTCCCACAGACTACTCTCTGACAGCCCACCCCACTTTGATGGGCAAAACCATGGGCGTCCTCGGGTATGGAAACATTGGTGAGGCCAAGACGCAGCACCGTGAAGGTTGTTTTTGCATCGAGGTTGTCCTGACAAGTCTAGTGTTTCGTAAATTGGTTTGCGACAAGTGGCTCAAAAAGATGTGAAATCCCAGGTGTGCGATCAGGCAGCTGTCGTTGGGATACGGCTTTCTCCAGCGGTGAACGTTGCACGTTCTCACGATAGTCGAGCAAGTGTGCCTTCATTTGCACTGCTCGGCCAGTTTTTTCCAAGTATAAGTTGCTCGGCTCTCCCCAGTCGTGTAGTGGGCATGGTAACCTGCGGTACTGGCACGTTGAATGCCGGTGGCGGGTGGCAAATTCTGTGCTGGTGGCAATATATAGCGTTTTCTTCACTGCTGGTGAGATGGTGCTTATCTGTTGCCGATGGCATTGTAGTGTGCTTCTGTGGTCACGACCTCTCGTGACTCGCACGGGCGTTCGTGTTCCGCCAGTTCTAGCATGTTCCGTTTCAGTCTTGGTTTCGACGTGCTGTGGAAGGGACGGTGGGGGGGTGGGCGGGGGCAGGGGGGGCCAACTATGTCGAGACTTGTTGCGTTCGAGGGCCAAGGTATGCTGACCACAGGTTTTGAAGCTCAATGCGTTCGTTATCAGTTATCCCTTCGTTGTTGTGTGTCTTTGTGCGTTGTGATTCTTCTTCGGTTGACTCGTCGTGACTCGTCTTTGTTCTTTCCGTCCCCGTTGTTGATTTTTTTCCGGTGGACATTTTTTTACAGGACAGTTTGCTGGACTTGGTGACGTCGGTCAAGGGTTCATTAGGTCTTGCCACGCTGCATTTGAAAGGCCAGTGTGCTGGAAGGGTGGCCCTTTCAGAGGTGACAAATCCTCGCTCCCAAAGTCCATCCTGCGTTAGCAAGCGCGCCAGTGGCGTTGTTGTGAGCTCATTGGCGCGGTGAAAACTGATGATGCAACGTTTTGGGGGTTGGAGGGAATGGTGCGCCTGTTAATCCCAATGGAAATGCATATAAATGCTCAAAAAAAGAGGGGAACCATGCAGAAACAATGACATGAGACAAAAGACATGCATCTACAAAACACTGAGAGTTACCATGAATTGATCCACGATGACACAACCCTGGCCCTCCAATGTCTCCGAAATGTGCGGGCGAGGGGTGCGAGGGCTGCGAAATTGCGACGACCACAACGAA